TATATATATATATATATATTTAAATATCATATTTTATTATAAATTCTCTTAAATTATTTAAATTCGTTTATATATATAATAGAATTATTGTGTACTAGTGTACTAATATATATATTTTCCATATATTTTAACCAATTTTAACCAGCATTATTTTTATTTTCCTTTTAGTGTTTTTATGTTAGTATGTTTAACAACTAGAATCTGAAGTATTCTCCAATAAACTTAAATGTGAATGACTTCAAGTGATCGAATTGCGCTGTCGCGTCCTTTGACACGCTTAACCGTTTATGAAAACGATTTCGCTACATTTTTGCTAACATTTTGATTGTTTTACCATGCCAAATATTTACAAGAAATTCAGAAAGTTACGTCGAAGGCGATATATTCGCACTTAGTAATAATTATAAAGTGAAAGTGTGTGAACTCCAGAAACTAAGATAGTGCCGTGTATCCATCACATATATTTGCTTTATTGATATTTTGAGTGTCACAGGCCTTGTGGTGCCTATGCATATCTTGAGGTAATACGTCTTTTAATAAATATAATATTCAATATCTCCTATATAATAATGTATTTAAAAATTCTTTATTTTTATATGTATGCTAAATAGCAATACTGTTTACATTGTTTTCTTATATTTATGAACTGATCATAGACATAACCTACATGATGTGCATTATAATTTGTTTTAAAATACTTATATTGTATTTTAATACAACTAAACAATAGGTAATATATTATTTTGTTTTTTAATTAATCGATTTAAGTCATATTTCTGTTATGTGAGAAGTATATACATATGTACAAGCTTCTATTTATTATTTGTGTTGACATAAAAACCAATATAATATATGAAATCATATATAAAAATAAAAGTTATTAATTCAATAATATAATAAATATTGATGTTTATTCTTCTTTTTGATCAATTTAATTTTTTTTATTTATTGATTTTATGTGTATTTTATTTATGATTTTGTGTTTTTCTTATTTTAATATTATAAGGGTTATATTTTCTTATATAATTATATAATTCTTTAATCATTGTATAAAAATCAATTTCATATTATAAATTATTCAATATGCATTAAATTATAATTCATATTATAAAATATTAAAATATTAAAATATTTATAAGTTTCAATTGCTTAAGATATTTTATTATTAGAATGATTTTTTATTCAAAATATTAAAAAGAATAATGATTATAAAATAATGACTGATAAAACATATAATATTACAGAATTTGGACGGTGTTCTAGATTATTTTAAGGATATTAAATTTCTCATATTTGGTTGAATCATTTAGCAAACATGTCAGAAATAGTTTACCCACAAGGGTGTAGGTCTGTTACGGAAGATCTTGGTCCAGATGAACTTATTAGAAGATTAAAGGTATATTTAATTCATAAATATTATCATAAATATTCATTAAAAAAATATAATATGAAAGGAAATAATAGATAAATAAATAAAAATAATTGATATTGAAATTAATTAAATAGACATTAGCCCACACATTGCAAGCAATGGGCCAAGATGAAGGAATGTATCAACAATATATACCACTTGCATTGCATTTAGCAGAAGAACATTTTTTAATGCATCAAAGTAAAGATGTACAACTTCTTATTGCTTGTTGTATTGCTGATGTTTTAAGGGTTTATGCTCCAGAAGCACCATATAAAGATGCAGAACAGGTAATATAAATTTCTTATTCTTAAATTATGAAGTTTTATATGTATATATAAATAAATATTAGAATAGAATTTATAAATGATTTTATCATTAAGTATTTTTTAAAAATTTTATTTTGTTTGCAAATTAAATTTAATAGCATATTAAATTTTTCTTTCGTAGGTTAAAACAATATTTTTATTTCTTATTAAACAATTAGCTGGTTTAAAAGATCCCAAAGATCCTGCTTTTAAAAGATATTTTTATCTTTTGGAAAACTTGGCATATGTGAAATCATTCAATATGTGTTTTGAATTAGAGGATTGTCAAGAAATCTTTTGTGCACTTTTTTCTCTTATGTTTAGGATAGTGAAGTAAGTATAATATAATTAAATATAATATAATATTTAATAAGTAATTATAATAAATAAATATATAATTAATAAATTATAATCATTATTTAAATAAATATTGAATTGTAATCATATTTTTAGCGATGAACATTCTGGAAAAGTCAAGAGTTTTATGTTAGATGTATTATGTCCACTTATTACAGAATCAGACATTGTTAGCAATGAACTTTTAGACATCATACTTATGAATATTGTAGAACCAAACAAAACACAGAAGAAAAATGCATATTTACTTGCAAAAGAACTAGTGATTAAATGTAGCGACACATTAGAACCATATATTCAAGCAGTGAGTAGAATAAAATTAAAATTTTTTATTTTTTGATAATAAAAAAAAGAAATACTTTTTATCTTTTAATATTCATAGTTCTTTAACCACGTATTAATCTTGGGCAAAGAAGAAAAGAGCTTACAAATTTGCAAGAAAGTATATGATTTAATTTATGAATTGAATCATATATGTCCAAGCGTCTTGTTGTCCGTCCTACCACAATTAGAATGTAAATTAAAATCTTCCTCTGAAACTGAAAGATTGGGTGCTGTAGCATTGTTAGCAAGAATGTTTTCTGAAAAAGGATCTCAATTAGCTGTGCAACATACGCAATTGTGGCGTGCATTTTTAGGAAGGTTTAATGACATCAGTGTATCAATTCGTATCAAATGTGTGCAGTATTCAATGCATTTTTTATTAAATCATCCTGAATTGAGAAAAGATATTACTGATACTTTAAAATTAAGACAACATGATGCAGATGAAAGTGTTCGATATGAAGTTGTTATGGCTATAGTGACTACTGCCAGAAGAGATTTTGAAGTGGTGTCAGACAGTGAAGATTTGTTAGAATTCGTTAAAGAAAGAACATTAGATAAAAAAGTATGTTATTTTTCATTTTTTCATATTTATGTAGATTTATGTGATCATATTATGTATATTTATGTAGATTGTAAAATATGATGTATTTTAATAATTATTTTAATTTATAGTTTAAAATCAGAAAAGAAGCAATGGCAGGATTAGCAATGATATATAAAAAACATTTAAATGATGCGGATGTACCGCAAGCTACAAAAAAGGCTGTTACTTGGATAAAAGATAAAATATTACATGGTTATTATATGGCAGGCATGGAAGATAGATTACTAGTAGAAAGATTATTAAATACTTGTCTAGTACCTTATCAATTACCAGCTGGAGAAAGAATGAAAAAATTATATCATTTATTAGGTACAATTGATGATCATGCATCTAAAGCATTTGTAGAACTGCAAAAACATCAACTTGCGTAAGTTAAAATTTTTAAAGATTTATACTTTTAAGTAAAATTTTCATTATTTTTTTATATTATATTTATTTCATACTTTTATATAAAATATTATATTTTAGTGTACGGAGAGCAGTGGTTGAATGGTTAGAGATTGTAAAAAAACCAGATGCTATGGTAGAACTCGTAGCTAAAATTCATCAGATTTCTCGCTTTTTACCCGATCCTATGAAAGTACAAGAATTTTTACAGAAGTTTAGTGCTCATATGAGAAAAGATTCAGCATTATTACAAGGAATGGAAACAATAGTTCAACCAAATGTTTCTTGCAAAGAATGCGCAGATACAATAAGTATGGTTCTTAAAAAATTAGGCCAACCTGTCATGACAAATTTATATTACAATACAATAAAAATGTTGTTAGAAAGAGTAAGTTCTGTAATGATTGATGAAGAAGCAATTAGGGTAAGTACATATAATATACATATAATATTATTTTTTCATATGCTTTATCTCAATTTTCTAAATTATTTCATATTCATATCATTTATAATTATATTTTAATAGGTTTTAATTGGATATGTATTAGATTGTTTAAAAGGAGGCAATGTAATAGAAGAAGTTGGACTTAATCCAAACAATGCAGGTGAAAAGGGTCTAAGGTTACTTGTGGTATGTTTATAATTTTATTTTATATAAATATTTTCATTATTCATGTAATTGACTAGTTTTTAAAAGTACATATTTTTCTTGTAGATGCTTTCATTTGTATTTGGTCCACATTTTCTTCATAATGATATATTAATGCAACTTGTCCATCTTTTGGAATTAGAAGATGAGATGGTAGCTCCATTGGTTCTTTCGATTTTTACATTTTTAGGAAAATATAAACCTTTATGTGATGTTGCACCAGATATTATGAACCTTATGGTTCCAATATGTAAAAATTTTGCAGAAACAGGAACACCAAAACAAGCAAAACAAGCTGTCAGGTGTTTATTTGTTAATATGACCAATATCCATGATACCATTTTTCCTGAAATTATTGAAAGAATTAAGAATAATCTTGCACCAACTTCAGAATATTATCGAACATCTATAGTTACATTAGGTCATATAGCTTATAATTTACCAGAAAAATATCAAGTACA